ACATCACACACGCTCATACAATATATATATATATATATATATATATATATATATACAATCAGGTGAACCCGAAAGCCATCTCGAAGAACATGCAACAACCTCTCGTTCTGCCATCAATGATGACTTTAACCAAGGCATCAAAACCTTACACATCACTTAATCGGCTAAGGAAACCGAAAGAACACCATCCTCACTAGGCGCACCTAAAGCCACAATCATATGCATGTTGATAGGTTCAGTCTGTCGGTGAATAGATGTGACGAGGATGAGCGACAAGCAGCAGGAAGGAGAGTGCATAACCAAATATGCTATTTCTGCGTAAAAAGTTTACCCTGTAGAAAGTTTACTCCACCCCTGGATGGTAAACCATGTAAGCCCGAATCTGGAGCTGCCACCTTTCCTAGTGGTCAGACTTGAGAGTTGCAATGACTCTGTGCGATACACTGGCTGGTCATGACAGGAAAACCAAAGAAGTCACACTGACAGCAGCCAGAACCTGTACTACAAGTAACCGCATTGCGAGGTGGTTTGGGGGTAAAGTTATACCGTCATCTGCGATATGAAGGCGAAGGCAGTAAGTCAGATAGGTATGGTACTGAAGGTGCCCTTTACCTATAGAGACCCGGTCTAAAATTTGGTCCTTTGAATCTGTTGGCCGTCGGGCACCTTGGCAGAGTCCTTGGAGCAAAAGTATACCCATAAATTATTGATCTTCATTAAACGATTGTACACCATGTACGCGTAGTTTACGATAAGCTCTCGCCTGAGTTCATTAGGTCCAGTGGCGTCTTCTTTCACCTAAGCTCTTCGAATTCATTATCCAAATGCCCAAAGAAGACTCTCTGATGACTGTGGTAGAAACGCTCTCACGACAATTGCTCATAGATACCCATCACACAGGTGACTGAGTTATCGAATCTGATGCTACCGTAATGGAAACGATATTAAATGACCTAAATAACCCTGCCCTACAGTTTGATATGCAATTCACTTCTGAAAAGTGTTTCTACAATACTTGGCAGGATCATGCTTGTGGATGAGCTGGTAGACAAATTTGTCCACCCGGGTAGCTGTATCAGTCTAGTCTGTCTAGCTAATGACGAGGTCTTTAGTTGGATAGGGAAGGCCAGAAAAGTCTTTCCTACCCCCTCAAAATCTATGGCGCAGGCAGGACATCAGCATATATATCAGTGGTTGAGTTTACAATGCTGCGCCACAATCTATATTGCTATATGGGTCAGAAACCTGGTCGCTGTGAGCTGATGTCGAGACTTTCAGTGCTTGACCATTAGTCTCCGGAGCATTGTCAGGGTCTGGAGGGAAAATCGAATCATCATTACTGAGTTACACCGAATGGTTTTTGGAAGAAATAACTCGTCCACGAGAAATAGGCTGACCACACTCCATAGGCTGCGCTGGCTCGGTAACGTAATCCATATACCAGTCGACCAAATTCCCCGGGAAGTCCTTTTAGTACGATCACGTGGATGAGGAGAGATGGCTCAAGTGGTTATGGCGCGAATTTACTGACCGGAAGGTCCGTGGTTCGAACCCGACCTCTGCCACTCGACTTCCCCAGTCTAAGCTTGCGCGACCTGGCAGTATCCCAGCCCTCATGCCTCCTTTGGTGGCATGGCAGCTAGGCACCGAAAGAGTGCTACAGCTGAACGATTTTAATTTTTTTCAGCTTCCCCTCCAGATTTCCCTAAACAAAGGTCCACTATCACTCCTTGATTATCGGTTACCGTCCCCAATGTATAGCTATCCACCCATTCAGGTCACCAGCGAACAAACCTGTGGCCGCTATAACTACTGTACAACATGTGCGCAGTTTACAGATGACGATGGTGATGATGATGATGACAGTGATGAAGTCATATTCTGGTACACTCATTCATTGGACTCTTGTACGGCAGAGATACGACCAAAGGCAGCTTGCATCCAGCAGCAGGTGAAATCACACAGTAGTCCAATCGTCCGGTGTGAACTCACTCAAATAAAACACGGTTTGCATATACTTACCGTAGCACTCGCAAATTGTTTCCTTGTATCTGGTACCAGCATTTGCAACGCATGATAGGACCTTCAGAGCCCATCGTTTGTCCACTTCTTTTCCATTCGGTGAGAGACAAAGCTCTTGGAGGCAAAGTACCCCTCCATGTTCCAAAAATTCCAGCAGAAAGGAGTGGCTACAGAAGGCGAACAATTCGGATCATCAAGTTTCCTGCCTATGTGAGAGATCTTCAACTTCGGCGTTCACTGTTGTCACCTAAGAGGAACTGATTAAGTGGTCATAGTGTCACCTGAGATCGCCTAAACGGTGCACAGCCTAACATGGAAGATCACCAAAAAATTCCACGGAAAAGCATTATATCAAACATCCCAAAACGGAGACCGTAATTTGCATCTTAAATATCCTCTACAAACCACACGTAAACACACATAAGAAACCTTCCGTCTAACCACAAGAGAACGGTCAACGGGGTCACTGTTTGGGAGGAAAGTTGTATGTAAACAAAACAACGCATTTTACGAAACGAACTACAACGAAGAATACGGTGTTACACCCTAGTTTAGTAAGGAAATCAGGTCGAACTTCACTTCTGTTATTGAAGTTCCGCCTAATTCAAAGGCATGGAGAAGGAACCCAGCGGACGAATTCATCAAATTATACCATTAAATTAGGATTTCACATACAGCTGGATTGGTGTTACCCTCAAAACAAAGCAGAATAAGCATAGCAACGCTCCCTCATTTTCTACGAGTTCGATTTGGTACTTACAGTACCAACCCCCAGACGAACTAAGGTGAGAGCAGAGTGGTCAGCTATAAGTGAGATTCATGTGTCAACGCCATCGTAAATCTATCCAGAAATCCAGCTTTCGATGTCAGGCACCAGCGGTACACATGGCTTAAAGATAAAGAGCCAGTGTGACTTATAGGATTTATACGTTCTGAAGATATTATTCACTGAGCAACTTATAGGCTTTTCAGGATCAGACCACATCTTCCCTGGTATCATCCAGCTGAGGTACTGTTGTCACCGTTTTCAGAAGTATGATTTACATTGAGATAATATATCCGTAAAATTACAAAGTAGCTAAAAACGACGCCCTCTTGATTCCGTTTATACTTTTTCCTCCACAAACAAATGATGTCCCAATCCAATTCAAAGTAATCCAATTAAAACTGAACAAACAGACAGAATCGTACCTCCGAAAGTAGGGGGGTTTTGAATCCAAATGAAACGTGCACCTTCGAAATTAGTCAAATTATGATAAATTGAACTTTAACACGAATGCTAATTCCCAAAACAAGTTTGTGGAGATCAAATTTATCCGAAAAATGTAAATCTCACTATGCTCACATTGCCTTCTTCAGATTTGTTTAACTGGCAGTCAACGAAGTACTTTAGACGACAGAAAGAGGTTGCAAATAAGAAGGGAAAGAAACAGTGCTTGATTCGGTCAAAAGATTCGGGGATGTTGTCTGAAACAAGCGTTAAGTTACAGCTAGATCGAAAAAATTGTGCTCACCTGCTAGATGCGGCCAGAAAGATGTGTAAGGCTTGCAGCTGCTCAGTGAGACAAGTCCCGGACATATATCTGAGAAAAAATTACACTAGAATTCAAAAACGACCGACGTATTGGGACAAAAAGCAAAAAAATGTTATTAGCTCCTCGTTTCAGAATATCTTGATAAACAATAGGTAGTTTTTATTTCGATAACGTTTCGCTTTTGACACAAAAGCTTCACACTGATGAGACAATACTAACGAAAGCCGACTTCGGATGGGCGGATGAGTAGTTCAAAACTGTCCCAGTGTCGGTGGGCTCCTCGTACACTGTGGTCTTTAGTTTTCCCCCGACCTTATGTGTCATGCAGTCTAAAAAGGTCAGGTTACCCGAGGTTGACTCTATCTCCATACTAAATTTGATGTGTGGACTCAGTTCACTGAGATAGTTGTAAAACTCACTAACCTTATCCCGTTTCATCACGACGAAAGCGTCATCTACATAACGCCAGAATCTTTGGTGGGTATGGGAATCCGCCTAAAGCTCTCCGTTCAAATTCTTCCATGAATATATTTGCCAAAATCGGGGATATTGAACATCCCATTGCTAGACCTTGTTCTTGAGTGTAAACCACGGTGTCGAAAACGAAGTGGGTGAGATTCGGTCATGCTTTTATGCCTTCCACTATTTGATCCACCGTGAGCTGTGTCCGTTCTGAAACGGTGGTGTCTGCTAGTAGCATTCGCTTAGCTATTTCTAAAGAGTCCCTTTGGACACATTTGTATATAATGAATTGACATCGAAACTTACCAGGTTGTCATCTGGTTCAACGGTGACCCCCGCTACTTTGTTGGCAGGGTCATACGAATTCTTAATGTAAGTACTGGATTGTTACTCCTCCCGCTGGACGACAGCTTTTATTTGGTCCCTTGATGCGTTTCCAACACTACTCTCTCCCAAACCTTTTAGGATTCTTCGCAGTGGTACCTTCGGAAGGTGTCAACTGCGGATGTAGTCTTTCAGTCAGGACAACTACATCAAACCCAATAAAATGTGAGGAAACGTGCCAGGAATCAAAAAGTAATCCCTGTTTCGCATTGATATCAAACAGGTTGGTGTAGATATGCGTCTGGGGATTGACATCATCTAAGAGATTATGAAGACGTACCCGATCAGGTGAGATATGCAGATAAATATTTTCCTTTCTTAGGGCAAACTCTATTCCTGATAAGGTTGATCGGCTGTTTAGTGAGAGTAAATGAGATATGGCGGCCAAAACGAACTACTATTATTAGCTCCTGAAGTACAGTAATCCAATAGTGTATATAAATCAACGGGAAACCCTAAAAACCCTAAGCTGATTACACACTTCATTCAGATTAGCCAGAAACATCTCCCTGAAGGATCAGTGTGAAAAAATAATGCCCATCGTGACAAATTTGACTAACGCGTGTTGAGAGCGAAAAGAAGTTTAACTTTGTCCGAAAAAAAAATTACAAATGCTCAAATCGTTGCACCTTCAATCAGCTAATTGAATAAACGGGCAAACTGAACACCGATGGAAGTTGAGCAACCATTCGGGTAACGTATAACTTTTTTCTGTCACAAGCGATTGAATAAACGTTTACACCTGGCGCTGCAACCATAACACGTGTGCACGTCCATCCGTTTATCATGTTCAACAGCACTGACCGCGAGGCTGTCGAAATTCTACATAAACACAATCAATTATATTCCGTTCCAGCCATGTCCCTGTGTAAAAATACTGGAGATTAGAGCAAATTCGTCCAAACTTCTTTGTACAGTCTGGGAATTAGGAAACGCACACGAACACTATTTTTAGGTCATAATGCAGGGAATACTTCGGATGGCACACCGATTTATCAGAAATATCACGTCACCCGGTTTATTTTCAGTGCACACTCACGTGTTCACCTATACTGGGAGAAGTATTTAATTAATTCGACATCCGCCAGTACATTTCGTCCTAGGTTAGAAGGAATGGAATGCTTACTGAACTGAAAGCTTGAAAATCGTCTATTCTGCCCACAACTGAATGACTAACTGAAGTTCATAAGAACAGGTTCCTCTAACACGTAGTTCATAGTAAGGAAGGGTCATACGAATTCTTAATGTAAGTACTGGATTGTTACTCCTCCCGCTGGACGACAGCTTTTATTTGGTCCCTTGATGCGTTTCCAACACTACTCTCTCCCAAACCTTTTAGGATTCTTCGCAGTGGTACCTTCGGAAGGTGTCAACTGCGGATGTAGTCTTTCAGTCAGGACAACTACATCAAACCCAATAAAATGTGAGGAAACGTGCCAGGAATCAAAAAGTAATCCCTGTTTCGCATTGATATCAAACAGGTTGGTGTAGATATGCGTCTGGGGATTGACATCATCTAAGAGATTATGAAGACGTACCCGATCAGGTGAGATATGCAGATAAATATTTTCCTTTCTTAGGGCAAACTCTATTCCTGATAAGGTTGATCGGCTGTTTAGTGAGAGTAAATGAGATATGGCGGCCAAAACGAACTACTATTATTAGCTCCTGAAGTACAGTAATCCAATAGTGTATATAAATCAACGGGAAACCCTAAAAACCCTAAGCTGATTACACACTTCATTCAGATTAGCCAGAAACATCTCCCTGAAGGATCAGTGTGAAAAAATAATGCCCATCGTGACAAATTTGACTAACGCGTGTTGAGAGCGAAAAGAAGTTTAACTTTGTCCGAAAAAAAAATTACAAATGCTCAAATCGTTGCACCTTCAATCAGCTAATTGAATAAACGGGCAAACTGAACACCGATGGAAGTTGAGCAACCATTCGGGTAACGTATAACTTTTTTCTGTCACAAGCGATTGAATAAACGTTTACACCTGGCGCTGCAACCATAACACGTGTGCACGTCCATCCGTTTATCATGTTCAACAGCACTGACCGCGAGGCTGTCGAAATTCTACATAAACACAATCAATTATATTCCGTTCCAGCCATGTCCCTGTGTAAAAATACTGGAGATTAGAGCAAATTCGTCCAAACTTCTTTGTACAGTCTGGGAATTAGGAAACGCACACGAACACTATTTTTAGGTCATAATGCAGGGAATACTTCGGATGGCACACCGATTTATCAGAAATATCACGTCACCCGGTTTATTTTCAGTGCACACTCACGTGTTCACCTATACTGGGAGAAGTATTTAATTAATTCGACATCCGCCAGTACATTTCGTCCTAGGTTAGAAGGAATGGAATGCTTACTGAACTGAAAGCTTGAAAATCGTCTATTCTGCCCACAACTGAATGACTAACTGAAGTTCATAAGAACAGGTTCCTCTAACACGTAGTTCATAGTAAGGAAACTCGGCCACAGTAAACAATATGGGAATGATATAACTAAGGGGCACAAAACAATGGTACAGTAATCCCCAAGAGGCAAAAGCACTAGGAATTAAATAGCTGGTATCAACAGGGGACTTGGTTTCTGGGTGGATAGCACACTAGATTGTGGTAACAAAAACAGCGTTGTGAACTCTCTAGAGGACTGGCCGTTTTCCTCTGAGGTGCCTCTCGAGAAAACTGTTGTGACCGATAAAAGCTGACTGCAGCTGTGTTTCATATTTTACAATATTATTAAGTGTATCGTCCAGCTCATCTTCCTACAAGCATGTTAGAAGTAGGGAGAGTTGGTTCGTTCATTATTCGACCTATAACTGAGAATACAACTACAAGCACAATTTACTTTAACCTGATCTTATTCCGATAACTATTGTCTAGACATTTCCCAGCTGATAACCTGGCAAGGACTAGACTGCATCGATTTATGTTGGTGAGGAAACGGAAAAAAATTGAACTTTAGGTTAAATTCGTACTGAGTGACAAGACTACGGCACATGTGAACTGAGAACTCGACTCACGTAAGCTTAATCCACACACAAATACGAGCCAGAAATAAACTGGCCATTTGTGCGAGTTCGGACTCTAGTTCTGGACCGGAACGATCGTGATGCTGGTCGATAAAATCCTGCAGAAACTGACGGCGTTTTTCTTTGGGTGCTCTGTCCCATTCACGGAGAAGACACGTCATGTTATAGGTTGCACTATCTTGCTTGGCAGAAGCCATTTCAGGCGAAACAGAGCACTGTCAGTAGCGAAACCAATAGAATAACCTAAATGAAACAAATTACAATAAAATGAATGAGTTGAACGATGTGGTTTATAAACAAGCTTAAAGTATCCACAAAAGATATCTGATGCAGTAATGAACCGGTCACCAGTTACCGTTGGAGAACAGGACTTCAGCACGTGTTCGACTCAAAGCAGTCACATCCGACATGAAATCCCCCGTGTTTTCAACCGCTGCGTGAGGTCTAGCGAAACCCCCAACAGATCAATAATCTTACTAACGTCAGACACTACCGAGGTCCCGAGGATCATGTGACCGCATTACTCACCACGGATTGTCAAGGCCATAAAGTATTTAGCCCTCTGTAGCTATTCTTCCCAGCCATCACATTTGGGGTAAGGAAAATCGAGCGTGAATCATGTTTAGTTGGGCTCAAGAAAACACAAACGAAGTCAGATTTGTAAGTAGAGCACCTTTACATGCGAGGTTTAGAAACCTCTTACCACAAAAGAAGCGCAACGTGTGCGGTTCACAAAAATGTCCCAACTTTAAGGGCAATGCCGGAGGATCTTCAGGCCGATTGGACGGTACAGTGCCGAAAACAGCCCCTTTTAACTTGATATCATGAACTAGGAGAGTAGTTCCACAGAATACACAACTCTCCAGTTCGGTGGGTTTTCAATGTAATACAGCCATAATACGCTACGGTAATTAATATAGTAGTTCTCCTCAACCAGGAACGTCCGCGGGACTTAGTCAGCTTGGTTTCTTTTAAGGAGAAATCGAATGCATTTTAAGTGAAGCATTCACTTGTTAAGAAATATGTTGCTAGCTTAGACTTTATTTTATTCCCTTCCTGCTTTATCTCTCGTGTACTTGGAATTCCCGTAGAAATACCGAGCATAATTTCGGACACCTCAGAGGCAACCTCAGAAGCTGACCAACGGAATGGCGTGAAAGAGACGGGACTTACCGAGGTTATGGTAAGATTATATGAGCATTATCCGATTCCAATCAGCATAATGATATGTTCAGAAATGTCGGTACCTCCAAGGCTGGACGGAGTAAAATAAAGAACCAACGACATGTAGTTACTGTAAACACGGATATAATCGTAATCGCAGCGCTGAAAAAGCAGTCAAATGCATGTCCCATGATTTGTAACATTTTCAGAGTAAAAATGCTCGGGTATGGTAGGCTGTGTACTAATGACTGAAACTGTCCTATAGTTGAGTAAGGCAGATGTCAGCTTTAAATGCCCAGTTTTGGTAGCCCAGTTGAGCATGTAACCATTTTCATCATTTGCGATAACTCTGGTGGTTGATCAGAAGGCTGTTGATCTGTTAACCGAGCTTGACAATAGGCTTGCAAGCGTTTCGCCACCTGCCGGGGAGATATCGTCTGAAGACGAACGTCTGGAAGCCAATTGCCAAGCCCAGCGAACAGATCAATGGCCACCCGGTCAAACAATAATAAACGCGCCTGAGCTACTAATAGTTCGAGACATTGAGGTAACTCTGCCTGTGAAATATGGATCAGACGTCACCTTAGAAGATGCGTGTAATCCGTAAAGACTGAGGCGTCAGCAACACGTAAGACTTCTTGCACCGTTCATGCACTTCACGGATAAGGTCAGCAGTCAGTGGTGCTTTAGAAACTAAACCAATAGCCAGAAGCGGACGCATGTGCTAATAAATATAGTGTCCTTAGACTCTGCATCTTTTTCTCACAAGCTGTTAAAAACAGATTAAACAAAACCTTAAGTCTAGGTTAACCCTGAGGAGTACAACAATTGCATGGCTTGTTCGACACACTCTAAAAGAGCTTGATATACTTAAGTGAATGACTAAAGTACTGAATACTCCTCATGCAATGCGATTAGTTTACTACTGAAGGTGTTGTGGTCGGGTTTTTACAGTTAGTTATCCACACTCTACTGTTTTTCTAACTTCACAGGTGGATGCATGGACCAGGTTTTGGGGTTGACAAATTAACCCCGAACTATTCTGAACCTGAATACTCTGATTACGGTGATACAACAAGAACATAGGAGGCAATCCTAATGGTGAAACCTGAAGACAGAGTAGTGTCAAAAGGATGGTGAGGGAGAGGAATACGTGAACTTGTGAGAAATGTCATCAGAGGTTTCGCTTAATTGCCTTATTGCATGGAGGAAGGTGATCTGAACCTCCTGGATAAAAGTATGACTTAAGGGTAGTACGCAAATACCGATCTGAACAAAATTAGTTCCCATGGAATGATTGACACTAGCCCAGAGGAGCGCAAGAATGTATTTGCCAAGTCTATTGACTAAACTGGCATAAGACACTCTGTGAGTCATGGTGAACTCACCTTCCCACTAGAGCTCAGTAGGTTGCACTGCCACACGATAAGGTCGTAACCGTTTGTGACAGGGACCATCTCACATGAAGAGTGCGTATTTACTATTAGTGTCCCATAGTACGTAGAGGCCTAGCAATGGGCAGGCAATTTGGGAGCGTTTTATTCGAATGCAAAAATTTCGTTCGACAATGGCTAATGAGATATTACCGTCATCTCTTGTCGCCGGTTATGCAGAAATCAAGACGCAGTGAATCTAACGCTCCAGGTATTCAAATTCGTAATCATAAGAATAGCTTATTTGCGCGGGTAGCAAAATTTGAACCATTTAGGATCCCCTATTAAACCATTTCCTAGTCCTAGGCTAAGTCATCCCGCACAGCCAAGTGTTCAAGGTATTGACTCCCTAGCGCTCGGCAACGTCCACCGAATCACAATTAACATAAATTTAGCCTTGTGTAATGCATACTATGACTGCCTCGATACAGGCGTCGAAACAGGTACAGAACTAAACATTATGTCCAAAGTAAGGCTCCCTTAGTCAATCACTGATATCTGGCCGGTTGTATGCAACATCACTTGGAGATCAATGCTACACCAAACGAACGTTGAGCGAAACTATGTTCACATGTTTTTATGCATGTAAGTAACCATACGCTCATACGCCCACAGAGTTAAACTGTCACGAGATTTGCTGCAATACGCATAAAACCAAAAGGATAGCAGTCGCATTAGCCGCGTGAACTATGGTGGCCTCCGCTGAAGAGACGTTTCGTTTCTAACCCGTCAGAGTCCACACGCTGAGCCTGAATGACCTGGTGAGGTTTTCGGCACTAGCCTAATGGCTAGGATCTACCTGTACCTTTATAAAGCAAAATGCTAGTAACCACTGATACCCGTCCTGATCACATCATTTTTCGTGGTTGTCCATTTTCGTACCACGTGTTCATGAGGTAGGAAAACAAACGCGCACGACTCCCATTCAAGATGCACATCATGTGGGGCACATATTTACCGCCCTGCATTGGCGCCGTATGCCTGACCTGACGTTGCTCGCGATTTTCGTAGATCAAGTACCCTGGGCCATCACAAGCCGTTTTTATTTTCAATTCAAGACCAAGCTGTTATTTGTACTTTACGTACACTCTCAAAAGTAAGAGATAATTCTTATGCCCATATGGATGGTAACATGACTCCGAATAACACAAATGAATCCACGGATCGCGGCGCAGGGAATTCATTTGCAAAAAGTCGGCAGGGTAAAAAGTTTCAGCAAGCTAAGTTGCGAATTATGGAAAATCTGGAAAACGAGTGGAGAAGTACTGTTGATGTTTTGGATCTCTGCGTCACACGAACGGGTCCACCTACCCGTTGAGGGCGAATAACTGGGGAGATCCCTACTTGGTCAAACACGACCAAGCAGTGCGAAATGGGCCGAAAACCGGCAATGATTAACGGAAAACTAAAGACACTGGAGGAATACGTGAGCCGAACGGCATTATTTATTTCTCGCTTCACCAAAACCATCGGTAATGAAATCCAATCCAACGTTCATCTGGTTGAGGCGAACGGTTTGGATAAGCAGTCTCAAAACATAAGGACGCAGCTTTTTTCGCTCCTCTCAGTGCATCCACAAAATGACCAATATCAGCGTTACTGTTATTTCCATCAACTTTCCTGTCAGGTTAGCTTGATATAGGTTGGTCACGAAGCCTGTTAAAAACGAATTGAACAGGCGCACGTTGGTTTGTGTGAGCCTAGTAATAGCGACTTGATAACCGAACCCGCACAAGGGCATGATCAGAATCAAGGTGAGTAACCCATAAGGAACGGTGGTCTTTAAATGAAGCTCTCCATCCGCAAATGATCGTCGTGTTACCTAGCTGCGATCGCACCCCGGGCTGTGGTTGGTGGTCCCCAAGTAACATGGTGTGGCCGCATGCATTAGCTGAGAACAGACGCAGTCCAGCGTGTAACTGATCAGGTGCCCCCCTATCATATGTACGATGGACAACGGACTGTCTGTCGTCTTATACAAAACTGAAACAGTCAAATGGATAAGATCTTCTGATTCTATAGGGAAATCGTTTTGGTTCATTTTGCCTCGTTTCGGTAAGAAAAGGAACAAATGTGGGAGTGGTTTGAGGATGGGAAAGGGGTGTCTTGAAGCTTGTAAAAATTCGTACCCTTTTCCCAGACGTTTGGTTTTGCTAGAATTTTGCACTGATCTACCCAAAAGGGTGTCATTTCTCCCAACTCTTGCTCAGTTTCGCCATTGCCATCATGAAATACGCTCCACGAGGGACCGAGAATCTGCATATCACTATGAAGAGAGGTCAGTGGATTTGGATTATAGATGACGACAATCTTGTTACTTAAAAATCGTTCGTCCTCACGGATCACAGCAAAAAGAATATGATAAGTGGTTCCTTGTAACGAAGTGTGCCTTGCACCTTCAGGGTTACTAGCTCGCTCACGGACATCAATCCATTCACGAACAGCTTGAAGAACGGTTCAGCTGCCCTCATCAACGCAACCACTGTAAGAACCAAATAAACCAGAGTCGAACTTCGATACCAGTGTAATATCGGAAACGGGAATCTAGCACGGAGTTTCATTGATTCAAAGTAACAAGGCATCTGGTACAGACTGTTTGCACTCCTTAACTAAGGTGGCTAGTCCCAAGCTGGGTTGTTCCTTGGCCATGGTTGCATCGATCATATCTTCAATTTGCGATAAGTGCTGGAACTGTGCAACTCCTTCAGACGACAAACAATGACGTTTTTCTCAATCTCAGATCTGCTTCGCGAAAACCACGTCGTGTAAAACGAGGTTACCCGAATCTCTCCATACGGTGACAGCGGAGATTTTTAAAATCGTTTAGATGTAGCAGCTTCTCGGTACATAGCCGCAATGCCACTCGAAGGAAGCACGAGGGCTTGGATACTTCCAGGTTGCCCAAGCCTAGACAAGAGAAGTCGAGATGCAGAGGTCGGGTTCAAAACACGGACTTTCCAGTAGGTAAATTCATACTCAAACCACTGGGACATCTCACCCCAGTATGGATACAGCATAGATATCGGGTGTGTGAATCAAGGTCAGAATAACATAGCGGAATTGTGTAACCTCCCCCCGAAAACTGGTCGGTCTTCTCACCATTTGCAGGGTGCCTTGAAGCTGACATGGAAGGTTGATTGCTCTTTCGGGAACATTGGGTTCACTAGGGTTCGGTTTCGTAGCAAGAATGTGTATCGTGTTGGTTGTGAAAAATTTTGGTAGTGCGCTGGCTGCAGCGTAATTATTAGTATCACTAATACTATTAGGTGTGTAGACAATTGTGGGATTTTTGTCCTCGCCAGATCCATCCATGGTATCTGTACAGCTAGATGAGAACGTCAGCCCAATGATCCATCACTGAACGAGGGAAGAGTGTACATTCTGAGGACTTTAAAAGTACTCACCCACTGCGAATCCCAACAACAGAGTTGGGTAGACGATTTCAGTGGCTATTTCCTCATATCAGTAAAGTAATATTCGTTCAGATCTCCAAGCTCCACTGAAAAAACCCACAAATGTGGCAGGCAAAGAGGAAGCTGTGAAAGAATAGGCACTAGCGACAAAAAATTGCAGTTTCCTGATAGTTTAAAAAGACCCGAATGAAGCAACCACCTGCACTTCCTGCTCTTTCTCAAGAATTATAACAATACCGTCAGAATATTCCAGATCGACAATCTTCTAGCCCGGAGAGATCTGAACACCGCGGGTTCGAAAAACTTCGCATTATTACCTTATCAATGACGAAAGTAAACGACAATGTAAATAATGGACACATTGTCTGGAACTGTTTGTAGCAACTAAGTAATCGTCATCGTCTCCAGTGACTGGCTGTGGTTCTCCTGCTCTTCCATTTTCTCTAACTGCCACAAAAATTGTGGCAGTTAGGATCAACGTACCCTTGTGGGGTGGGTTACGATTGGTAAGCTGACTGAATAACTAGAAAACGACTAACAATGTGGACCATCCTCGTCAAGCAGCAGTCGATATTGCACAGGCATAGCGGTTGCGACTGGAAATCACGCAATCATGAAGTGATCCCCTGTCATCAGAGTGTGGAAAAAAGCCAAGGGGACGGCTAAGCCTGAAACGAGGGACGGCTATTGATAGCGGAGTGCGTCCGGTGGACCGCCGTTCTGAGCTTACCTCAAATCCAAACACCAAGACCAGAGGACTACGGTCTCTTCTAGAGAAGCCCGCCTCCATATACTTTAACTCCCTTCTCCACACATACCACCCGTCGGAAGACGCCAAAGCTTGGAACAGAGTGGAAGATTCAGTACCTTATCCAGCTGATGTATAGTGTCTGACCAGCTCGTAAAACACCATCAGCGGGATCACCAGTGGAATGCCCTCCTGGTTGACAAGTAACAGCAAAGAGACGGTGACTTTCGAATCTAAATAAGGTAGACTTTGAATAGCACATATCCCAGTCATCATCACCATCATCATCAAGAAAAGAAAGCGTTCAGCTGTGGCACCCTTCCGGTGCCTAGCTGCCATGCCACCCGAAAGAAGCACGAGGGCTGGGATACTGTCAGGTTGCCAAGCCTAGACAGGGGAAGTCGAGTGGCGGGGGTCGGATTCGAACCACGGACCTTCCGGTCAGTAAATTCGCGCTCTAACCACTTGGGCCATCTCGCCCCAGGGACAGCAACATAAGTGTTCCCAGTACTGTCCCCTGTTGTACGCCACTCTTGGTCTAACAACAACAAGGCAAGCTTCCGCTGGTACTCACTTGGAATGTACAATGCTTCAGGGCATTGATCATACAGCTCACGGAGTCCAGTGAGATGGTGCATTTTTCAAGAGCTTTGGCTAGTATGTAAGGTTCAACTCGATTGAAATATTTACTCAAATTCCCGAATATTTCGTCAACGAGAAATTCTGCGTCTAGTGCGTGTGCAGTTTTCCGAATGCTACTGATACAACTGCAGGAACGCACGGACCTCTACTGAATTTCCGCGATGATCTGGTTTTACTTGATGTTGCATCAGCACCTGCTCAATCCAATTTCTATCGGCTTAACTATGTTCGCCTAGCGGCTAATGGTTCGCAAAATAATGTTGGCCATCGTCTCTGTACGGGGAATTGACGATAACCTTCCTACACCATTATCAGTCATCACTATTGTTGGCAGCGCAGCGATGCTCAGTACTGACACGCAACTGCTTCGTTGTGAGGAATAGAGTAAAAGCGGAATGAGTGTGCTAACCTACGACATTCATTCCGAGGTGCCTAGGCCCCCAGACGCTCATCCAGACTATTTGGATAAAAACAGATAACAACCCCAGTAACGTCCATTAGCGGCCACATCTTCCAAAGTCTTCAAAAGTGCACAAGGGAAGCCACTCAAACCCGATCATGAGTGTAAGTCATCGAATGTTCGTAGTCACCTTCATACAATTATCATCATCATCATCATCATCATCATCATCATCATCCATAGCAGCGGCAGCAGAGACAGCAACACTAATGTCGTCACCGATTCTTCGGTGCAACAGAACCATAAAGTTAGTCTAACTACATTTAAGGCCTTAGAATGAAAAGAGAAAAGAGTAGGGAAGGGAGGGGACCTGGTGCTAACAATTCGCCAGCATTCTGAGGTGCCTACACCTCGAAGTGTTCAATCAGATAAACTGGGAAAACGAACGTCATCGATCAGCCGCCATTTCTTGCAACGCCTCCAGCCAAGCGAAGCCGTGGTCACGGATACCTCACCCTAGAAGGCGCACAACACCAACAACACCCAAACTCTTCGTAACCTCTTTCACATCCTTCTGCTAAGTCACACGTTGTCCATCTCGTGGTTCCCACCATTCTAAAATAGACATGAGGTATAATACTCGTCTCATTATACGGTGTTTTGGCATGTGGCACAAGGCAAAGCCACTACAGTTTATGGTGCTGTTTTCTCCGATCGAAATACCTGTTGTACGACCAAATACCCGTTTTCTAATCAACTCACTACCAATTTGTCGATGCCATCCAACACCAGTAAGACTTCTGAGGCATCGGGCGGTCAAAAACCTGAAGGCACCCCACATCCGCTGTCCGCAGAAGTTATATCTGTCAAACATAAAACAATGCAGTTTTTACACTAGCCTTGTACATGCAACCCTTGGGACTCAGTAATATGTGCCTTTGACGCCACAAGTGATACACATTAGTAAACGTGATTGGGGTCTTTTGGATTCGCCAAGGGTCACGCTCAGAGATTGCACGTTCTGAAGCATGACTTTGCTCCTTGAAGTTGGAGCATGCCGAAAGGAGGTACTACGGATCTGTCTATTCAACGGAGATTGTGCTTGGACGCCGTCTCCAAAGATGAGAGCGGTGTCGTCTGCGTACTACGAGTCAACAAGGTCCTCACCAGCAACAATCTGAACACCACGATTATGAGACTTTCCGGCGTTCGTTTCATTATTTCATCGGCGATGAGGCTGAGGAAAAATGGAGGGTAAACACCTTTGCCGAACAGCACCTTTTGTTTGGAAGCTTCAGAAAGCTCACTGTACACTCACGAACAAATTCAATTCAATTCATCAGCTATAAAAACACAAGCGAGTTCCTTTCAGCTGCTATAGTTTCAATCGCCAGAACGTGGAAGAAAACAGGACACACAGCCAAGCCTTGGAGGCGATAGCGTGTTTTGTTAGTCCTGGAACTGGGTAGCCACTAGCTTTATGCTTTAGCTTAGGTGCGGGAGCACCATGGACTGCAAGATTGGACGACTTCTGCCGATGTCATTAAACATTGGTGAGTTGAGTTCCGGGCTCCCCAACCAGGGAGGCGGCAGTTGTTGACCCGACTAAGTATACTGACTAGTGTTCTCATACATTATTGCCGGGGCATACACTGTCCACCTCCACTCAGCACAGGGGTGGGCGAAATGAGCTGTGCGAGGCAGACGATTTTCTGGCATGCGGAGTACATGTCCTAATCCGCGCAACGTATGAAGCGTGAATAGTTCATCTATCGTGCAAAAGTTCCTTCTTCTTAAGACCATCTGGCGTATCTCATTATTGCAAATACGATGTTCTCACCTGACCAATGCTTCGCAGACACCGATGGGACATCTTTCGTATGCCCTCTGCGAGAAGGAGCCAAGCTCCTGAATCACAAAGCAGTATGGATCGCACCACTGCAGTGCAAAATTTGCCCGCTGACAGACAAACTGACGCCAAGTCGGTGACATAGGTGTAGGAGGTTGGCAAAAGCTGCCCTGGTTTACCAGATACGAGAAGTAATTCCATCCTCAGCCAGTCCTCCAGAACTTATACAGCTGCTAAGGTAAACGCATTTATCTACCACATCGATTGGCTCGTCCACAAGCACAGGGTTTGGGTCTGATCCAACCCAGTCTTGCATCAGCACTTTATGCTTTTCAGACTTGAAGCGCATGCCAAACCATGCGGCCGAAATATTTCGGTTATTTAAAGTGGTTTGCAAATTTTGAGGATGTGAACCAAGGAGAGCAAAGTCGTCTGTATACTTAATGTCTGTGAGCAAACGTCCCGGGAGCATTTCGACTCCCGAGGTTTCATAATCAGGCGGAGAAGTTTCAAGCAGCACATTGATTACAAAGTTTAAAAGGAAAAGTGAGAGGGCAGCCTTGTTTTTCACTACTGGACTTGATGAACAAGTGGAAGTTTGCCGTATACTCACATGCGCCCACAGGGGTTGCATAGTGCCTTCATAGGGGATATCTATATGGAGGGGACAACTTTGATCGCCAGACACCGCCTAAGTTTCTGACAATCGACAGAATATTATATATATATATATATATATATATATATATAATCATATCGCTCAGTTGTAACACCCTTTCGATGCCTAGCTGCCATGCCACCAGGAGACACGTGGGCCGGGATACTGCCAGGTTGCCCAAGCCTGGACAGGGGAAGTCGAGAGCCAGAGGTCGGGTTGGACCCACGGACCTTTCGGTCAGTAAATTCGTGCTCTCACCACTGAGCCATCAAAAACAGCTTCCAGACCAACGTGGAAAGTCTGTAGGAGTTGTGCTGTTCAACAATCTGTCTCAAGTTCGCATATCGCATCTTACATTGATTTTAATTGAGCCAGACAACTGCACAGCGCAAAGATGACTGTTCACCGCGATCCAGTCGGGTAAAGCACTTCCAGCCTTGGGGCTGAGTGCACCTCCCACACCGTAGATACCACAAGCCACTTTGTCCGGACTACCCGAGTGAAATGTGGTACATGTTGGCTGGTCCTAAGCGGTATGATTAGCATGACCGAAACGGGGTCATGTGTAGTGTTACGGAGGCACAATGTACGTCATCAGAGAGGGGAAACAAGGCTTCGGCAAGGGTGCCTGTTGCCCAACTCGACACTGAGTACAGAAATCAAACGCTGCAACATAGGTCAGATATTCTGAGGCTGGTAAGAAATTATTTTGGTTTATTATTCTGGGCGAAGGTTTAGACACGGAATAGTGCCTAGGGGGGGTGGCAGATTGGCTGATCGCAGTGCATTGTTTGATGGGCAAAGAGGGAGGTTTAGACAATAGTGCCTAGGGGGGGTGGCAGATTGGCTGATCGCAGTGCATTGTTTGATGGGCAAAGAGGGAGTTTGTGAGAAGGCCGGTAAACGACGACCGGTAAGTGCGAGTGATCAAGCGCATACCTGGAGTTAAGGAACACCAAGATTATGGGTCATTTGCACACGTGGTGTTGCTCTAACACCCGACGAAATGCGAGCACACAGTGTCTACTCCTTCGGAATCCCGTTTGATCTTCATGGGCCAGTGTTTCGTTTGCCGCCGTAAGGCAGAGTATCAGCAAAGCCAGAAGCCTTGTTACAATTCGGCTGAAACTTACTTCCATTGCGAAAAATCTTTGTTAAGGGGAGAATTGTTATCGGCTCACTCCAGTTTCTGAAACGGTTTTTTTTCTCCCGGGTAGGCATTGAGGGATTCACCGCCGTTCTTGAACACCGATGGGGGAAGATCGTCAAATCCAGGAGCACGGTGATGCTTGAGTAGAGACACACCCTCAGATACTTCTGAGGCCAGAGTCTCCACATTAACAGGCCATGTTTCTGGTACAGGCCAACAGTCCTGATCGGGATTGTTTTCAAAATATCTTGCCAAACCTTTCAAACTTTCTGCCTTGCTGAATATCACAAAACCGCTCTGTTACATGGTAGTTTCGCTGACAAGAGGCTTCTGAAGACCAGTCGTACGACTCAGGTCAAACAGCCTGCGGAAGTATCCAACACTTTCTATTTTTCATTTCTTCGGAATTTACAGTCAACCAAGCTTCTCGGTCTGCGCGGACACTCAATTTGACCCAGGATCAGAAGATACGTTGGGTCGAGTTGTGGTTAAAACTAAAAATCTGCCGCTGTGCCTCAAGCAAAGTCACAGTGCTATCAAGGACTAAGTATTACGATAAGGTTGAATGGGTTGTACCGCAGACAGAAGTCTCAGCATGGATTAGCGCTTTGGAACGGTGACGGTTAATATCCCACATAGGAATATCCAGCATGCGTCGGGAAAGCCGGTTCTGATATGTTTGTTTGATTGCTTGATCGACGAGCCTCTGAACGCCTAAGCTAAGTGTGAGCGTTTTATGTAAACTTGAAAGCGCAAGGAAAAGCGGCAGCGGCAAAGTGTATGATCTGGGTCCACGCAGGTGTTCCAGAAGGAGAAGCGGGTAGTGATCGACCCTTACAACCAACAACTAGTAGCAATGTGGTTTCATTGGATTCAAAACTGGTTTGACGTCGTCAAGCGATTTCCGCTGTTCCGGAAATCGGTACTGTGATCAGCAAACGTCTACGGTAGATGCTATCCAGTGTTCTTACGTCTCGTGGCCAACCTAAAACGACCAAACCATTGGGCCTCAGAACGCCTAGGCTACCTACCTGAACGTTTATGTCACCAGTGACCACAGCATATTACCATTTAGCTGATTGTTAAAGAACACCTAGAGCACCTCAGAAACTGTCCTCCATGGATTAGGAGCTACAGATCGTCGGGGCATAAGTCGAAACAGTAGAAAAGAGCAACAGATATAATATTCTCAAGATTATTTTACGGTTGTCAAACGCACCGCAAAGGATCGACTATCAACTGGTATCCAATCATGAAAAACCGCTTCCTCTCGACTGATCAACTCAATAACCACCTTTGTATGCCCGGCCACAGCGCCATCCATATCACAAGAGCTACGCAGCCGAAAACTGGAACAGAACGGACAGTCAGTTCAGTTGTGTTTGCGACTGGAATCCTTGGTTCTGGAAAGCAGCATACACCAGTCCAGAAAAAATCCAGATGTATAGGAGGAGTCAAGGGTACATAGTCTGCAGTTGAGCGTAATGTATAGCGGAAAAAGTGGTCAGAATTGGCGCTAAGATTTGCGAAAAGGATTCTCGGCTTTGGGTGGAGTAAGGTATAAGAAGGAACATGTAGTAATGTAAAAAGGGAACCGTCATCAGTAGCATGTTTCTGCCTGTCTCTTCCGATGTACGTAGCAAGTGA